GGTCTGGTTCCTCCCTGGCTGTGCGGCGCTGTTATCCCTGCTCGGCTCCAAACTGCTTGTTAAGGAGTATTTGCTCCGAGTTGCTGCTTTCAGTTGACAGAACTCGCCTTGGAAAGCAAATACTCAACCCTAAAACAGCTTCTCAATACTTGTAATCAAAGTCTGTCTCCTTCATTGTCCCTAACAATTGTCCAATTTTACTGTGCCAGCCCCATTTATTAAAAATAGTCAATAAGGCGCAGCTTTGTGCGAGGGGTTTATAGACTGGCAGTTCTTGTTTGAAGCAAACCAATTGTGCTTGATTCTAATCCAGAACTGGGATTCCTGAGTGATCTGCTGCTGCAGAGCTCATGGGGAGAGTGGTCGATGGCTTGCTGATAGGAAATCTTGGAGCAGCACACTTATCTGGGATTTACCTCAGGCTTTGCTCAAAGCGCCGCCTTCGGAAAGGCAAGAATTGCAAGTTGCATTTCCCACCCACCCCCCTTTTATGGGTGTGTTTTGGGCCACGCTCGTTCCTCAGCACCCAGAGAGTATTTACAAAACTACTTGCCAAAGTCAGAATCCCCTTAAAAACGGGTGAGCACGACATTCAAAGTAAAAGTTTATTGTGGAGGGAGCGGGGTGTGTGAGATGGGGAGCTGTGGGAAGAAGCTCTACGCGTGGATCCTGCTTTCCAGGAGAAACACGAGGCGTCCAAGACCATGGTGAGAAAGCTCAGGAGTTGTCAGGAAGGGTGAACCCTGGAAACGAGGTGCCAGTTGTGGCTGGAAGATCAGTAGGAATGTAGGAGCGGTGGGTGAGTTCAGCTTCCAGGGCTTTTGTCATGCTCAGCAAACTTTTTCTCCGGGCTGGAGAGGGCCAGGGCTCGGCAGCGCCTGCGTAAGCGTTTTGGGAGAGGGGAAATTCTGAGGAATGCTGGCAGTGGCCGGCTGGAGGTGGGGAAGGGAACTGCAGGGCGAAGCCGGGCTTTTCAGAGGGTTGGTTGTTTAATCACTGCCGTCACAACAGGGCTTGGAGCCTTCTGGGGTTCAAGTCGTGACTTGGAGGCTTCAGAGGAAATGCTTGGGAGCAGGTAGGAAGGGTCTGGTTCAAGTGGGAGAGGAAAATCATTTGTTAGCCTTGTTTTTAAGGAGGTGTGAAGCACAGTGGTTGGGAGATGAGTCTCGGGAACATCACTGATGCAGGGTTTGTGGATTTTCCTTACGGCTTTCCCAGCCAGCAGAGATCACTGAACTTCTTGCCTCGCAACGTGTGGCAATTTGAAGACTTCCTTAGTTTTCCATATTCATCAGGAATCTGTTGCAGGCAGTTTTCTGTTTCTAGAGGCAGTTTCCTCTTACTTTTAACACACTTGGTCTCCTCTCTCATTACACTGGGATCAAGGCAGGTCCTCTGTGCCCATGTCGTTCTTGCAGCTTCTTAGAAACAGCGTCCACACCCCAAAACTCTACTCCTGAAACAAATCTAATCTGCAGCGTTCATAAGCAAATGGAAACGCTTATCTTTGCCCCGAAGATAAGGATTTTCGGCCTTGCAATTCATTTAAGTTGCATGTGAATGGTAGGATTTAGTTATAATATATGGTGTGCGGTGGTTGTGTGACAGTGACTAATGCCTGATGACCAGGCTGGCCTGCCGGGGTGCAATTCTGCTGTGCTGTCATGCCCTGAGCACAGAAAGGGAAGCGGTTCTGGATGGCCCGTGCCTGGCGCTGTGCTGTCAATCGGCTCCTTAATGACTCTCTTAAAAAATAAAAGCAGGAGCCTCCCGGAAAGCTCTTTAAGCTCCGTCCCTTCTTTCATTTACTGTGTCTCCTCCCTGCCCCCAGTTCCTGCCTTCCGCTGGGCTCCCATGTTTTGCTTCCTCTTCCTCCTTCCCCCTCTGCTCTCACACCTTGTGCTTCTCCACACCTGGTTTTCTGCCCTACCTGGCTCCTGCTTTCGAAATACACCACTTATTTTCCAATCCACCCTATTAATCTTCGTCCCACCTACTCAGGAGGCATGAAGGTTTTACAGGAGCCCATTAGCTGTTATCTCTGTCCCTCCCCTCCAAACACTCCGGGCGAAAAACAAGGTCTAACAGCGTTCTTGTGGGGGGGCATCGACTGCTCTTTTTGCTCATGTGGTTCCCAGATTTCCTTCCTGAAACCTCGAAGCTCCTTGTCCTGCTCGGAGGAATTTTTTTGCTTTAAAACGCCTCTTACCCCCAAGAAGCTGCTGGGAGAAGCAGGGTGGTTGTCCACAGCTCATCTCCAGTGCTCCACAGGGTTAATCCCGTAGTTTATTGGATCCTGGCTGGTTTTAGGGCCAGCAGAGCCCTCCCCGTGGCCTTGGGAAGCCCGAGGAGGCTGTCGTGGTGATCACGAGGGTGAAACTCTCGGTTCTGCAGTGGAGTGTGGCTGTGCCCGGAGGGTGGGGGGTGGCTGGCAGGATGAGCTGGGCTATAAAGGGAGTGTTTTTCTTAGCCCTTATCTCTGCTGTCTTGCACCGGTGCAGATTGGTGCTGTACTGGTGCTCTGTCGTTTTTTTTGCGGTTTGTTTTTTTTTTTTTAAAAAAAGGCAATTTTCACCACTACTCCTTGCTTTTAGTTTCAAAGCATGCTTTGAAGGCAAACACTTTTTGGGGTGGCTGTACATAGGCAACGTATTCTGAGCCTTTTTTTTTGCGGGTATTTGGGGCACTGCTCCATTTTCTACCCTGTTTTCCCCAACCTTGCAGGGATTAGTGCTACCTGTGTCTATCCAGCCACGCTACCCATCATCTTTGAGGGGTGGGTTTTTTGTCTCTTTTTATACATTGTGCTCACATCTCACCCCCCACCTTCCAGGCTTATTTTTCCCTCTTGCTGTTTTCCTTCTGTCTGTCCTACACCTTGGAAGGTTTCCAGCCAGGCTGTCCACTCCGGCTCTGCAGATCCCACCGCGTGTGCTCCCTGGCCAAGCCCTGGGGAAGCACGGGGGAGAAAAGCTGGATGCAGGCAGCCTGCAAATGCTTGCCTTGTTTATGAGAGCTGCTTCTTGGTGCAGACTGCAGTCTGGGGGGAGCTGGGAAAGTTTGTCTGGCATGAAGCACTAAAGCTGACAAAAGATTGTAGGGCTTGGGCTGGAATCGATAAAACACAGGGTGTTGGGAAGCGAAGGTCAGAGCCCTTCCTTAGTTCACCCTGTTCTTTAAATATCCTGATGGCTGTGGCAGTGCTTGGACACGGTGAAGAACAACGTGGACTTGATCCTCAGAGGGTCTTGCTTTTATTTATTTGGGTGCAGATCTCCCTGTTCTGTGCAGTGCCTGGTTTTGGAGACCCTTTTCCGTGCAGCCTGTTCTAGTGGAAGGTGTCCCTGCCCAGGGGGTTGGAACGAGATGATCTTTAAGGCCCCTTCCAACCCAAACCATGCTGTGATTCTGTGAAATCCCTCGTGTAGAGACTGTTGCAAAATGGCAGCAACCTGCATCTGCTTGTCTGGGAGATATCCCAGCGCCGGGTGCTGTGGCTCTTGAACTCCTCTGCCTTAATGGGTCAAATTTAGCAATTCAAAATCTGGCTGGTGAGGTAATTAGGAGGGATAATGCCCACTTCTTCCTCTTAACACCCTGATAGAAAAGCATCCAGGAAGGACTCCTGGACCTCAAAGATAAGCTGCCAGCTGCCACAGAGACTATCAAAGGGTGGCTCAAAGTCAAGAGCAAACAGCTGATTTTTTCTGGTTCTTGGGTTTTTGCTGGTGGTGACAGGAAGCCATGTTCCCCAAGCTGTTCGCTTCCTGTTTTATTTTTACACCCAGCCCGAGCAGATCCGCATGCCTATCACATGGGAGCTGCCTGCTTCTCTTGGGTTGTTCCTCAGCTGACCTAGAAAAGTGATTCTTTCCCCTTCTAAATTAATCAAGAAGTTGGGATGTATTTTCTTTCACTTAGTCCTAAAGATTTCAGGCGTGTCTCCCACTCCTTGTAGTGAGCCGGTCACCCAGGATTCCTCCTCTCCCTTGGAGCTGGACGATCCAGGAGGGAGCTGTTTGTTGCTTCAGCGTTTGGGCCTGTTAGCGAAGGAGATTTTTGTGAGATCGAGGCACTGACCTGCTCATAAAAGCATTTTCTGTCCAAAGCGCAACTTCCGCACACTCCGTTTTCTTCAGGTTTTTTATTTCATTATTTTTTTTCCTTTTTTTTTTTAAAGAGCTGGAAGTTTGTCCTGCCGGTTGTACAATCAATCTTGACTCCTCTCTGAGCGCGCTCCAGTCCTGCATCCTGAGTAGAGCTCCCTCAGCCTTAAACCGCTCTAGCAGGAAAACAATGGTCCAGTGTAAACCTCATCCCCGGGGGATTTCCCAAGGGAAGAGGGGTGCAGCCTGCAGGATAAGGAACAGTCACCAGAAAGTTTCCTGGTCAGCTGCAAGCGCTTCCTGTTGTTCCAGGAGAGCCCTGTCTGCTGCTCCAGGAGGGAGGCACCGCGTGTGCTTTGGTGTGCTGGGAAAAGCTGTTCTGTTCCTTTTTTTTTTTTTTTTTTTTTTCCCCTCGTTCTCTTTTTTTTTTTTTTTTTTTTTTTTTTTAAATAATAACATCTCCCATCTTCACCTCCTCGGTTTAAGCGACTGTTGCTTGCAAGTTTGAAATGTTTGTGAAGAGGAGCTTGTAAGAGTCACGCAAGAGGCTGCGTGTGAGCGCGGGAGGAAGGAGACCACGGATGGGTAGGAAGGGAAGGAACAAGGGCTGCGTGTGGGCGAAGACGTGGAGTTCTCCATCTCTGCCTCTGTACCTGAGCTGGTGGGGCTGTGCTGTCACTGCAACTCAGAGAACAGCAGGATCTTTATTTCTGATGAACCAGTTTTCTCAGGGTGGGGAGCCGGGGGGGGGTGTGGAGGGGGGAGCGAAGGCTTATAAATAAAGCCATTCGAGAGCAGGAAAAACGAACACCATGGCTCTGGTGTGCCTGGAATTTGCGGTTGAGTAATCCTTTCCTGTTTCTTTTTTGGGTTGTTTTTCATCTTTCAGAACAGTGCCTGAAGCAGGTCCACCATGCCGTTAGTAACGAGGAACATTGAGCCAAGGCACCTGTGCCGTCAGACGTTGCCTAGCGTTCGGAGCGAGCTGGAATGCGTGACCAACATCACCCTGGCAAATGTCATTCGACAGCTGGGCAGCCTGAGTGAGTACCATGGCGAGCCTGCGCGTTGCCCTCAGGAGTCGCTACTGCTCTTTATTTAGCTCCCTTTCTACTCTCGTGTTCCTATTTCTCCCCCATCTGCCTTCCCTGGGTAATGCTAAAATGTTTTCCTAAAGAAATCCGATGCTAATTTCATATCCCCGGTCCCACTGCCTTCCTATCTGGGAGAAAATGGGGAGGGGGGTGTGTGTGTGGATGTGTGTGTGTGTGAGAGAGAGAGGCTGCAGTGAAACTGCAGATGGAAGGATGGAGCACAACTCAGGCTTGTAAAATGGGAGGCTCTCGGAGCAGCCGGGATCTTGTGTCAGAGAACGTGCCTGTAATTGCACGAGCTACTAAATGGAGCTTGACTCTGTTGAATCTGCACCATGTCAGTAGTCTTATTTATAATGAAAGATAATTAAAGCCCCCACGCAGAAGCTCCTGTTTGCCCCTGCTGCTGTTTGTTGTGCTGTGAGACCCGAAGACCCGGCTGAGCCAAGCGGTGCCTCTGGAGCATCAGGGGCTTGGGGCTGCTCTGAAATGGCAGCAGGAGCTGGAGCAGTGCCTGGCTCAGCTCTCCAGTGGGCTGACCCATAGCCTTGGAAAAGCTGGAGGGAAAACATGGGCCTACATGCCCTAGGAAAAAAATGAAGAGTTAATTGTGGTCTCTCCGGGATGACTCCGTACTCCGCTGAAATGCTCTGGGTTCTGATTAACCACCTTTGTCCTTGAAGCGAGACTTTGATAATCAAATTAATCTATTGTTTTTCTTCTCCGTGGTGTTTGCAAGCCCTTCTGCTTGCTCTGCAGAGCAGGCCCCTTGTTTTCCGCCATGTGGCAGGGAAAGTTTGGGTGCAGCCTCTTTCCAGCAGTGCAAACCGTGGCTGTCACTGAAATCTGGGCCCGCGTTCGCTGCCAGTCTGTGTCACATTCTGTTGGGTTGGAGAAATGTCACTGCACAGGCGAGACCAGGCTCTGTGCTCGTGTTCAACTGGCCCTTGGTGTTCATTTGTTAGGTCTGGTAGCCAAGATGGTTGTGGAGTGTGAGTAAAATCCATCTCCTGCATGTGAAATGGTGAGGAAGGAGGCAGTAAAGCTGTGCAAATCCCAGCTGCAGGGAAGGCTTATCCCAGTCCGGAGACGCTCCGTGGGTTAGTGTGACAGAGCCCTGGCCAGATCCTGCAGGTTTAGACCTTTGCACAGCTCAGATATTCAAAGCTTCTCTGCTTCTGAAGCGCTGTGAGCCAAATTGCAGCCTGGTTTCTCCCTCGGGAAGGTTACCCTGGGAGCTGGGAATGCGGGGAGGAGGTGGGAGCTGGTACCTGGAGGAGAAACTGTGGGAGAGGTGGCTCCTGCTGGCACTCGGTGTGAGGGGGGGAGTGAGGCAGGTGGGGAGGAAATGCTGAGCACCATCCGCTTCCCCAGGGTCAGCAGTATTTTAAATGAAGCAATATTTAGCCTGCACTTGCACCCAGATGCCCAAACTCCTGCCCCCCCACCCTTTCCTCTCTCTTCCGAAAAAACACAACCCGCTCTTTCCTTGTACCTTGACTGTTAGAGGAACGCAGAGCGGGTTCAGTAGGCTGTGACAGCCCTGTCAAGTGAATAATCAGCCATGCCTGGTGCACCACAGTCTCTTTACAAAGATGCAAACATAAATCTTGTCAAACTTTCATATTCCAGCGAGTTTACCCTTCGTTACTATCGCAGCTGGGAGCACTTTGTATAAGTCGACTGCGCGTTTTTGTGTGATTTTATAGAACCCACAAGCTAAAGATGGAAGGACCTATTAAATCATGCCGTCTGTCTTCCTGCCAGTGCATGACAAAGATAATTCTGATTGTAAGCTGCGCTTTTGCAGTCAAAGTAACTAAACTAAAAAATTAATCTCTGTCTTGCCCCGTCTAAAAGTGTGTGTGAAGCACAGACAGCGTGTGAGGTGCTGGGTGATGACTCCAGGTGCACTTACACAGGCAAGGGAACACAGACCATCCCTTCTTCTCCCTCCGGGGTCAAGACCAGTATATAAAATGCTGTTATATGATATTTTACACTTGAAAAATGCTTTGCAAACTGAAGACTTCAATTACCCCTTCCCGAGTGCTTTTTGCAGTTCCTTGTGAAATTCAGAAGGTATTTTCACTTCTCGTGAAAGTAGAAACCGAATTACAACTTTTCTTTCTTTTTTTTTTTTTTTTTTTTTTTTTTTTTTTTTTTTTTTTTTTTGAGCTGTTGCTGGAAGGTTTCAGATTTTCCCACAGATACAGTTTTGGCTCTCTTTGGTCAAATAGGAGAGCTGGTCTGTGTTGATGCTGAACACGGAGAGGGCAAGAGCTACCTGGCCCTTGGGTCTCCAGAAATAAAACCCTTCTCATGAGTTTGGGGAAAGCTGCTTGGGCTTGTTAATGGCTCATCTGTGGAGTCTGTACTGCCTGGGAGGGTGGAAGGAAGAGGTCAGTTGAAGTTAACCTCCAGCATTTGCTTTCTACAAACACTTGGAGCTTGGCATTGCCACCAGAAGGGGTGGAGGAGGTTGAATTTTAACCTGGCTGGTTCCCCGTGCTTGGCGGTGTAAGGAGATCTCCTGGGAGCAGGAACAAGGAGCTCTGGGAGCAGGAACAGAGCTGATATGTTGGGTCAGATAGCTGGGAATGTTTGTGCAACTGGGCTTTGGGGGATGCCCTCGCCTTGCCTTGTGCAAGGGGCACTCATCTCTCTGATGGGACTCTGCAGACAACCACATTTCCCAAAACTGCCGCTGAAGTCAGACTTCCAACTGGTTATCCTCTCCTGAATGTCGGCGAGGATCTTTGGGAGTAACAGATTCCAGAGCAAACTGTTGACCATATGATGATGCACTTCAAAACCAGGCTGCTTATTGGGAGCAGCCTTGTACTCAGCAGCCGTGGCTGGAAATGTTTCCCATCAGTGGGAACGCCACGGGCCCATGTCTGCTGTCGGTGCCAAGTCTGTCCTCGGCGTGGTTGGGGCTCCCTGGCTTGGCTTGTGCCTGGGAGCAGAACAAAAAGGCAGGACTCTTTGGAAGTACTTGGTTTTTTTTCCAGCTCTCCCACTCCTGTCTACCTGTGGCCATCCCTTGTTGCCTGTGTGGGTTTTTAAACTCCCTTTTGAACGGGGAAATCTTTTTGTGACGCCTGTAAGTGGTGCAACAAGTTCCTGATCCAAACCCCCGGCCCAAACAATGGATGGTGTTTGCCATAGCAGCCCACACTGGGCAATCCAAGCTGTTCCAGAGAGAATGTCCCTGACTGAGAAGTTTCCTCTTTGGTTTTGATTTAGAATCAACGTGAACGCATCAATTTTTCAGACACTGCCACCTGAAGGAACAACAGGGTCAGTGCTTTTGGCTGCAGATACAGCTCTGGCTTCGGGATCAAGGACTGGGTCTGCTCTCTGCTTCCAGAGTGCTTTGAGCTTGTAAATATGTGCCAGTTCCCCTGGAGGCAGGTCTGCTGGAGACTGGGAGCCTTTGAGATTCTCCAGAGCAATAAAAATCTGACTGTATTTCCTTGTCTAATAAACAGAACAGCAGAGAATCTTAAAGGACCCTCAGACCCATCCACGCTCAGACCAGTGTAGTGTTGTCAGCCCTCTTTAGTTCTTTACTTTAATAGACTTTAAAGTATGTCTCAATTGTTTCCTTATTGCTTGAAGATCCCTTGGAAATGTCAGGTTTTGGTGGAACAAAGGGTTTTCTTCCTGGATGTTAAACTCAACCCTGACAAACTTGAAAAGAAGCATGGTTGGTTCTTTCTTCCTTTCTTCTTTCTTCAAGAAAACAAGCTGGGAGACTGACTATGGTCTGGTGTGGCTCATGGGAGTGATGTGGACGCTTTAATATTCCAGGTAAATCCGCAGAAGACATATTTGGAGAGCTGTTTACCCAAGCCAACACCTTTGCCTCTCGGGTGAGCGTTCTGGTCGAGAGGGTCGACCGCTTGCAAGTCAAAGTCACTCAGCTGGACCCCAAAGAGGAAGAAGGTAACGGAGTGGAGCACAGGGGCTCTTGTTGTGTCAGCATGGTGGGTCCAGTGCCATAAAACCAGCGTGACGCTGCCGTGGGTGCTGGAATGTCCTCTCTGGAGCTGAGAGGGACTGTTTCCTTCCCTCACAAAAAGGGGGCTGTTTCCTCCCCTCAGGTGGACACAGCATTTTTGGCCAGGTACAGATTTGCTCACTGGTGAGTTTCCATGTGGGAACTCGCTTTCCAGCAGCTGGATAGCCGGTGGATGAGTGGCCTGAGCTTGGTCACAGAGGTTCCAAACCTCTCGAGAGAGCTGTGTCGATACAGCAGCGGATCTTGGCACGGCACACTCTGAGATTTGATGGGTTTCCCAGGGGACCTGTGGGAAAAGGAACCTGACCTTAAGAAGTGCGAAGCATGCCAAGAACTCCAAGTGAAATCAGATGTTCACTGCTTGGTCTTCAGTGTCATTGGCCTGGGTCAAGCTGCTCTCCTCACTTGCTCTTTCCTCTTCCTTACAGTCTCCCTGCAAGGCATTAACACCAGGAAGGCCTTCAAAAGCTCCACAACTCAGGACCAGAAGCTCTTTGACAGAGATTCTCTCCCTGTGCCTGTCCTCGAAACCTACAGGACCTGCAATACTCCTCCACCTCTCAACATCCTCTCACCTTACAGGTATGGCTGCAGTGCCTTCTTGTCCCCTTGCAGAGGAGATCCTCTTCCTCCCAACCTGCTGGGGGAGGTGCTGTGTTGAGGTGGCCATTTCCCATGGGATACTGAGTTACTAACCTGAGATCCACCGGGAAACCTCCACCCTCTGGATTACATAAAGCTTCTCTTTTGGGGTCGTACAAATGGCTGCAGCTAGAAAAACCATCTCTTTGGTTCCCTGCTGCCACTTCTGTGACTGCCCTGGGGCAAGGCTTGGCTGGCACTGCAGAACCATGCTGGGTGTGCTGCGGAGGAGGCATTTTTCTTGCGGCCCCATGGCTCCTTTCCAGAGAGCCGCAGTGCAGAGCGTTCCCTTGGAAGTGGCTTCCACCCAGGTGGGCTCAGCAGCCTCCTGGAGACCCTTCCCGTGGCCTCTGGGACATCCGGTGGGACCTACACTGGCTGTGCAACCAATTCTGAGCGGCCCCGCTCCGATTCCATCTTGTGGGTAGTAGAAGGAAAGGGGGTCAGAATCCAGAGACTTATCCCACATCCATAAATATCTTTTGAACAGGTAAAAAGTAATTACAGATAGCTGGAGGCAGCTGTCTCCTGCCAGACGCGGCTGCACTGCAAAGTGGGAGGAGAGGCAGTGTGTGTGTGTGTGTGCGCTCGCTTGGGAGTCTCAAGGACGTTCCTGGTCTGATTTAGGGTTCCTGAGCTGGAGAAGGAGGGTGTTTTCCACACCAGAAACACGGCACAAACAAGAGGGAGTTGAGGGGAGGGACCTGCTGCTCTGTTGGTGATTGTTCAGAGCAGTGGAGCTCTTCGGGTGCTCAGTAGTGGAGGGTCTGTGTGAGGGCAGAAGGGATAGGAAGTGGGAGAGGCCGGGATGAGGAAGGCTCAGGGTCTCTTCCTGTCTGAAATGGGGGACAGGAGCTAGACCAGCCCCTCTGACCACTGCACTTTTAAGCTGCCATCTGAGGTTGTGCCTTGTGTTTTCTTTGGGCTTCAGATGTGTGAGTTGGCCCCTTTCTATGTGTTGTTTTCCCCTCCCCGTTCCAGGGATGATGGCAAAGAGGCGCTTAAATTCTACACGGATCCTTCATATTTCTTCGACCTCTGGAAAGAGAAAATGCTTCAGGACACCAAGGATATCATGAAGGAGAAGAGGAAGCATAGGGTGAGGAACTGGGAGTCACTGGTGGGGAGGAATAGGAGGTGGGAAGTGTTAATAAATCTTGGACTCCACGGTTGCCATCCAGAATTCAGGTTTGCACTTCTAAACTCTTCGGGGATCAATTCAGTGAAGTTTTTACCTGGTTTACCCTCATCCTTGTTAATTAAACAAAGAAAATAAAGATCCCCTTAATTGGTTTTTCCAAATGCCATCATCTTTGGGCCTTAACGTTAAATTATGCCATACCATGAAAGGTGTAGTTTATTTAGCTTCTGGAGTATTAAATATCAAAACAGATCATGACTTTTTTTTTTCAATTGAAATAAGAAAGGAGGGACTTGGGGTGTGTTAGAATGAAGAGTGAGGATAAAGCCCAAGTCTTCGTGGGCAGGTGTCCATATTGCACCCCAAAACACTAAACACCCTCAGGATGATGGTGAGATTTGGAATTCTCGACGCGGAGGCCAAAACCTCAATTGATGTGGGAAACTGAGCTTTCACTGCCCTCAAAGTGGTTGTGCCAGGGGGTAACGATGGAATTGTGTCTGGGCTGCACTGGGAAATGTGGTGTTGTCTGGCAGGTTTTGTGCTCCAGATTTTCTGTATGGGAGATCTCTGGGGCGTGCAGCAATCGGGAAAGTCAACTGAAAATCCTCTTTGAGGATGTGTCTTCATTTTAGATGCCACAGGCCTGGCCTGTCCCTCCCCCATGCCCAGTGAATTTAAAGCAAAACAAAGCTCATGTTTGATTCCTCCACCCCTTAGAAAGAGAAAAAGGAGAACCCGAACCGAGGAAACGTGAATCCACGGAAAATCAAGACCCGGAAAGAAGAGTGGGAGAAGCTGAAAATGGGACAGGAATTTGTCGAGTCAAAGGACAAACACGGTCCTGCTGGGTAAGCAAGTCTGGGGCGGGTTGATTGGGATGCGGTTCACCCTGCTCTGCAGCTCCTCCGGATCGATACTGCCACTAATCACATTCTCCAAAGTAAATCCGTCTGCTGATTTCACATTTGCCAAATAAATCAGGGAGCAGCGAGGCTGCTTCCCCCCCCGGCTGCCTGTGGGCACAGAGGTGCCGGGAGCTTTGGCTCTGCCCCGCGGCGATGCCCTCCCCTCGCACCCAGCCGAGGGTGGGATCTCGCTGGCATTGTGGGATTGCTTTGTTACATTTCACAAATGGCTCTTCACACCCCAAAGTTGGGAGCGGGGGCCGTCCCCATCCAAGTATTTCAAGCTACAGATCTCTCTTTAGCGCTTCTGGCTTGGGAATTCATTTAACTTTTGACACCAGCGAGGCTGGAAGCAGACCGAATTCCCCACAATGCTCTTCTCCCTTGCAGCTTCCTTTCATATAAGAAAAAAAAAAAAAAAAAAAAAATCTCTCTTTAAATCACACTCTCCAGCTAAAAATAAAACTTGCTTTTAGTTTAATAGGAGAGCAGGTTTGGTTTCTAGCAGGGGAATCGAGCAGCACAACAGCACCATTTTCTTGCTCCTCTCTTTTTTTTGTGTGTGTGTGTTCGTGTGTTTGAATTCACTCAGGGTCCAGACCCCCCAAAAAATGGGGTGGTTCCACTATCCCACAGTGAAATGAGCTCACTGAGAGTCTCTTCCTTCAGTACTATTCCAGCTTTGGATAGTTGTTTTAAAGTCATCACTGTTTCTGGGGTCATTTTTGGTATTCTATTCTCAAGCTTATTTTTTGGCATCTTTGAGTACCTCCTCTGTTTTTGCCACTGATGATACTCGGTGTAACTGCAAGTTCTTTAAGTTCAAGTTGGTCAAAACACTCCTAAGTGTTTTCACAAAAATGAAAGGTTAAGGAAAATCTGTTTATTTAGATGTTTCCTTGCTTATTAAAATATATACAAGTGCTGTTTTGGTGTGTGGCAGCAATAAACAAACAGGGGAGCATCTGGGCAAATTTTTAGCCAGAGAATTATGCAGAGCAAACTAATGCAGGTGTATGTGGTTCTTCATGTAGGAATCTTTGAGAAGTAGAGGGGTTTTTTTTAATGTTATAGAATCCTGGAATGGTTTGGGTTGGAAGGGATGTCAAGGATTAAGTTCCACCCCCTGCCGTGGTTGCTCCAAGCCCTGTCCGACCTGGCCTTGGACACCTCCAGGAATGGGGAAAGCCACAGCTTCTCCCGGCGACTCTCTGAGGGAAAACCAAGCTTTAGGCATTGCCTTGAGCTCATTAAATGACCTGCTCATCCTGCTCTGGCCCAGGTACCCCTCCAACATGGTGTATCAGAACGGCAGCATCGGCTCCAACGAGAGCATGGATGGGAACTGCTACCCGCCACCGCCGCAGACTGACTCCATTGTGCCACCACCTCCTTCGTTCCCAGATGACAGCCTGCCTCCACCCCCGGTGGAATTTAGGTAAGCCTACGGGATCCCTTCTGTCACCAAGGAGTAGTAGGTGGTGTAAAAGGATGACATGAGCCGGGCTGAGATAGTTCAGCAGAACTTCCTGACAGGTGTTGTATGGGAACCAGAATGCTCCTGTCTGGAGGGGAAGTGCAATTGCAGGCAGCACAGCTCTCCATGAATCCCAGCCACTGCCATCAGTCCTGGGCAGAAAGGGAGAACTAAGAGGGAATTTATTCCACAGCAGGGTCCCAGTGAACGGTTTGGCTCCATTGCCTGGGTTTCCCAGAGCGTGGACTCATGTTCCGTTTGGACAATGCTCTCAGGCACATGGTGGCATTGTTGGGGTGTCCTTTGCAGAGCCACGAGTTGGACTCAATGATCCTTGTGAGTCCCTTCCAGCTCAGGATATTCCATGACTGAGCTTTGCAAAGAACAGCTTCTTTCACCTCTTTTTTTTTTTTTTTTTTTTTTTTTTTTTACCATTTGCCCCCTGATCTTTGGGAAACTCACGACGTGGGCACTGGAGGTGTAGATGTAGTTGAATTTCAAGGACTTGAGCACAGCAGCTGCCTCCTTCCCAGGGACTTGGGTGCAAGTTCAGGGCATTTTACTTTGGACTGAATGAAATGGTGACTCCCAGGCACCTCCAGAGATGAGAGTCATGGTCCAGCAGTGGCTCAAGACACAAAGGGTGAAACAAGAGCAGACTTTTTGTTTTAAAGACAGTAAAACTGAGTCAAGAGTAACAAAAGCAAGTCTGTCTGATAGACAGGGCTGCTTGGCTTGTTTCCATCTTATCCAAAGGCAGCAGTGCTGCAGCAAAGGCTCTTCTGATGTGTCAGAGATACCCAGCACTGCACTCAGCAGCCTGTGCCTCTCGGGCAGAGCAGACACGAGCTCTCAGATGAAGCTCACGCTGCCTTATGCGGTTGCTTAGATCTCTGCCCAGCCACACAGCTCTCCCCTCTCTGGTTTTGTTTTGGTGGTTGTTTTTTATAATGAACCCTGGGTGCTTGGTTTGATCTCCAGGAGTCTGTTTTGGATCAGCACTGTTAAAAATGGCGACGTTTTTTTTGTGCCGAATGTACCTCATTTCTCTGTCTTGCCATGGGGGAGGAGGTGTCGGTTTGGGGCTTCCCTTCCATGGAGAATTTTCTGGTATGAACACAGCCTCCATCATGGGAGATTCAGTCACTCATGCATCAGCAGCACCGGGTTTCCAAGCCTTCCCCTTCACTCCCCATGGTGAGCTGTGAGGCCGGGCTGCTGCTCCGAGCCGTGGAATCCGGTGAGGAGATCTGTTCCTAGCAGGTGTTCAGAGCATATGCTTTCCTGGCTCCCCCTCCCCTCCTCGTGCGATTTATCACGGCAGACATCCCTGCCTGGCGTGTCAGGAGCCTGACCTCAGTGAGGAGGGGTGTTTTGCTGCAGGAGCTCTGGGGCCAGGAGGCTGCTCTGAGCTCGGGAGAGGTGAGGTGGCGGTTGTTCTTGTCAGCCTGGGAGATGGGATGGAGGGATAGCATTCCTGCCCGTCCCCAGCAGCTTTCCTTTGTTCTGGAGGTGAAGGCCAAAAGAAACACTGTGAGGGAACTAAAACCAAGGAGTTGAGGTCTCATGGAAACACCAGTTAAAGCTGGAACTTGGATTTTTTTTTTTTTTGGTCTGGACTGCAGCGAACACACATGATTTGCATTAACATTGAGACTGTACAGTCTGATCTGGCCTCACAGCTAATTCCTTGTTTCTCTCTCTCTCTCTTTCTTTCTGTTGCCACAGCTATCCTGTAGACAACCAAAGAGGTTCTGGTTCTGGAGGGACCAAACGGTCCAGCCTGGTCAGCCCGAGCCACCCACCACCAGCTCCTCCGATCGGATCCCCCTCGGCAACCAGGCCGGGCTTTGCTCCCCCTCCGGCTCCTCCTCCTCCACCACCACTGATGGGAAACCCCCCTCCTCCACCACCTCCCATGGGCTTCCCCTCCCCGGGAACCCCCCCACCACCCTCACCCCCTTCTTTCCCCCCTCACCCCGAGTTCGCTGCCCCTCCACCCCCCCCACCCCCTCCGGCAGTCGACTATTCCAGTGTGCTCCCACCTCCGCTGCCTC